TTGCTTCCGAAGAAAATGGATGCTGCGAGGATTGAGCAGTTCAGGCCGATCTGCCTCCTCAATGTTAGTTTCAAAATCTTCACCAAGGTCGGGACTAATAGGCTCACACAGATTGCGCAATCTGTGGTGAAGCAATCCCAAACTGCTTTCATGCCGGACAGGAACATCCTTGAAGGGGTGGTTGTCCTTCATGAAACGCTCCATGAAATCCATTCCAAAAAATTAGATGGAGTAATTTTTAAGGTGGATTTCGAAAAAGCGTACGATAAGGTTAAGTGGCCATTCCTCCAACAGGCATTGCGTATGAAAGGTTTTGATGAAGCCTGGCGCCGACAGGTCGAATCATTTACGCAAAAAGGGAGTGTGGAAATTAAAGTGAATGACGACATAGGTCATTATTTCCAGACACATAAAGGCCTAAGACAAGGAGATCCGATGTCCCCTATCCTGTTTAACATTGTGGTGGATATGTTAGCAATTTTGATAGGCCGGGCTAAGGAGAATGGTCAAGTGGGTGGGTTGGTTCCTCATCTTGTTGAGGGAGGTGTTTCCATCCTTCAGTATGCTGATGATACAATCATCTTTATGGAGCATGATTTGGCCAAGGCGAGAAATATGAAGCTTGTGTTATGTCTGTTTGAACAATTGACCGGGTTAAAGATTAACTTCCATAAGAGCGAATTGTTCTGCTTTGGTAGAGCCAAAGACGACCAGGAGTCTTATAGGCAATTGTTTGGGTGCGGGTTGGGGAGTTTACCCCTCTCTTACCTTGGTATCCCGATTCACCATCGTAGGCTAACAAACAGAGAATGGAAGTGCATCGAGGATCGATTTGAGAAAAAACTGAGCTGTTGGAAGGTTAAGCTCATGTCATACGGAGGTCGTTTGATATTGATTAATTCGGTGCTCACGAGTATGCCTATGTTTCTCTTATCTTTCTTTGAGGTCCCAGTTGGTGTTAGGAAACGACTGGACTTCTATCGGTCGCGCTTCTTTTGACAGGGTGATGAACTTAAAAGAAAATATCGGCTTGCTAAATGGGACATCATCTGTAGACCGAAAGACCAAGGGGGTCTTGGTATTGAAAATCTAAGAAGTCAAGAACAGATGTCTTCTTAGTAATTGGTTGTGGAAGCTGTCTTCCGGGACTGAGGCCATGTGGGCGCAGATCCTCCGCAACAAGTACCTCCAAACTAAAACATTGTCCCAGGTCGCAGTCAGGCCGACTGATTCGCCTTTCTGGAAAGGACTAATGAAAGTCAAACAATCTATGTTCAATAGGACGAGATTTGTTATTGGAAACGGTACAAGTACCCATTTCTGGAAGGATACTTGGCTTGGTGAATCACCTTTAGCCATTCAATATCCGTCTTTATATCGGATTGCTCAACGACGTGAGGTGTTCGTGGCAACGGTATTCCAATCTATCCCCCTTAACATTCAGTTTCGACGGTCGCTAGCGGGCAATTGTTGGGAAGAGTGCCTTCATCTAGTTAGGAGACTGATGGAGGTTCAACTTTCTCACCAACCCGATATATTGCGTTGGAAGTTGACTAGTTCTGGAGTATTTACAGTTAAATCGATGTATATTGATGTTATTAATTCGAATGCTATTCCAACTTCCAAGTTTGTTTGGGCTGTCAAGGTGCCTTTAAAAATCAAAGTGTTTATGTGGTTTGTCCATAAACAAGTTATTTTAACAAAGGACAACTTGATTAAACGCAATTGGACAGGACCTACTAGGTGTAGTTTCTGTGATCGGGATGAGACGATTAAGCATTTATTCTTTGATTGCCCGTTGGCTAGAGTTCTTTGGCGGACGATCCATATTGCCTTTAATCTTACTCCGCCGACTTCTGTCCATGCTTTATTTGGGACATGGCTTAATGGGGTTGAGCCTGTTCTCGCAAGACATATTCGGGTTGGAGTTTGCGCTTTTTTATGGACTATCTGGAATTGCAGAAATGATTTGGTTTTTAACAGAACATCACGGATTCATTTTTTGCAGGTTATTTTCTGAGCTACGGCACTGATCCGTTCATAGTCGCTACTCACTCCGATGGAGGCCAGGGAGCATTTGGTTACTGGATCTATCCGTTGGGAGATAGTCGCTCGGGATATCTTCAACCGGTTTGGATGGCGGTCATGTAATAGGATAGGCAATTAGTTTCCCTATCTATTGTTAGCCAGCCGGTTGTGGCATCTTTTTTGGGCTAGTTTGTATATCTAGCCGCCTGTAGCTCTGTGTGAGCTGCATTTCTCTTTTTCTTTTTTTCTTTAGCTGGAGACTGTGGAACCTTGTTGGCACTTTTGCCTTTTTTGGTTAATAAGATGGCCGTATGCATCGTTCTGATGCAGAGGCCGGGGAGACCCCCCTTTTCAAAAAAAAAGAAAGCTAGCAGTTTATTTCTCTTGTGAGATACTAATTCTTTGATATCTTTTGAATAAAATTACTTTTAAAATCAGTTTACATATTTGAATTCCAAATGATGATATCTTTAAAAGAAGAACAAATTTACACTTTTAAAGTAGTGTAAAAATTCCAGAATAATATTTCACTCCTTTCTTAAAAAACATATTTCACTCATTCATTAGAAACTAAGAGTGCGGGATATATAAATTCATGAATAATATTTCACTCCTTTCTTAAAAAAACAGATTCCACTCATTCATTAGAAACTAAGAGTGTGGAATATTTTCAAAACACTGGTTCATTTCAAAATATTTATATCACTCTTTTCAAAAGAATTATGTCACTCAATTCATAAAATAAGTTGATTTATTTTCTAAAAGACTTATTTCGCTCATTAAAAAACATATTTCATTTATTAAAAAGGTTTCACTCATTTCAAAACAATTTCACTAATTTTAAGAGAGGCTGATTTCATTCATTTAAAAACAACATATTCACACATTTCAAAATATAGTTTTTGATAGTTTTTGAATCATAGATTTCACTTAATTCAAAGTGTTGTTTTCACCCATCTCAAAAAACAATTCCACTTTTTTCAAAGAAGCGATTTCACTTATTTCACACAATTAAATAAAGTTTTCACTCTTAAAAAATAATTTAGTTTGAAAAACAGATTTCATTCATTAAAAATGATTTAACTAAATTATTAGAAAATCCTTTTTGAAGAATAATGATTTCGCTCATTAAAAGATAGTAGATCTTACTCATTAAAAAAAATCACTCTTCTATATAAAACTAGTTTCACTAAAAAGCAATCAATCCTTTAAAAAATGTTACTCTCATTTCAAAGAATAAGCTGACTAAATCAAAACAGATTTCACTCATTGGTCTTGCTGTAAATAGTTTTCCACACTGAAATAGAATGAGTGAAATAAGTGGATAGAAACATTGAAATTTAAATGTGCTTGAAATGTATGCAAGATTTGTCTTGTTCTAAAGGTCTTTGCATCAGGAGTTCAAATATATTAAAAAAAATCAAAATCAAGATTATGGTTTACAAGATATGGATGATTTAAATTGACTAATATGGAATAAAAGAACGGATTTGTTGGATGACAAGGGGAGAGAGAGTAGATGTTCCACTATTCATGTTTTCCGGTCATGCATGCATGTGAGTCATAAAAGATGGGACCGATTAGACTTAATATCACATATTTTTTTTTTGAAAAGAAGGAAGATCCCGGCCTGTGCATCTGGGCGATGCATGCAGCCACTTTATTAATTATTCACAAAGACCTTGCAAAGTAATGCATCATTAAGTCTAAAGCCGCCCTTTTGGCAACATTTGTCGCTACTTCTATCCAGTTGATAAAGGGATGCTAATAGTCCAAGCCTAATATCAAACAGACCTCGCAGCAAAGCCTAACATCTAAGACCGAAGGCCCTAACCAAGTCACTTGCCGGGTATGGGGCGCACACCGGTCCGGCACACTCTCGGAGGCCGCCGCCGCCTACTACCACCGATCCATCTTCAGAGTTGTACTGACGCATCGACCTTACCTGGCCTAGCTGTCGTCGACGCCACCACGACTCCAGACGGCGCCACCATCCTGCGCGCCTTCATCATTACACGCCCAGCAGCGAGACCCCGCTGCTCCATGCCGCTGAGATCCGCCGTTGTCGACGTGCCAGATGCAACGCCGCTCCTCCTTCGCGAACACCACATGCTGCCACTTGTCCCATCCCCCTGCATGCAGTTCCTCTGCACTCCCAACCGAGCCCCAAGGCCCATGATGACAACTCCAGGAAGGTCACGACGCGAACGGCGTCGCTGCCGCCAAATCCGAAAAGGATTGTAGGTTTTCACCCGGGCAGGGAATCGGGTGGGTAGTTTGGGACCTCAGCTACGGCTCCATGAAGGAAAGCGACGCCCTTGGGCATCGCTGCCGCCGGGCCGGCCAGACCGGCCAAGGTTTCCCCCGGACCCCAAATACAACACTAGGGCTCACCACCATCGGAGCCGGCAGACGCAACCCACCGGGGCGTTGAGAGAGGCAGCAGGACAGTGGGGGACCCCCAGATCTGACACAATAGAGCACCGCGCCGAGGCCGGATTCCACTAGCGACTCATGGCCCGTGCGGCCGAGCACAATGGCCAGCGTCTCCTGCGGACGTTGCCAGCAGCCGGACAATGCCGCCTCCCCGGCAAGGCTACCGCCCCAAGGAACCGCATGCCTCCAATGCGAGTCTCTGGTCCGAAGACCTTCGAGATCAATCCGAGTGCCGAGATCCCCGACGCCACCTTCCCCAGCGCACGCGCGGGCTTTCCCGGCGGCCGTCTCCGGTGGCGGCGAGAAAGGAAGGGGGTGAAGGGGTGGCGGCGTGGCGGAACCCTAATCGCCCCCGCAGCTTGGTAGATCGGTCTTAATATCACATACTTACACAACAATATACATTTTGTGTGGGCCTCCTGTTGCACGAATCACAGACCGCCTGAACGGTGAGGGATATAAAAATGTCTTTGCCCAGATGCATCACGTTCCCCTTCCAATAATATAATGAATATTACAAGATAACTAATTCTCATCTAGGTGAGATCCAGAGAAACCCCAAAAATTTGATGATGATGCTGGCTTTTGGAAGATAAAGGTAAAAGAAGATGGGCATTGTTTCTCATATTCTGAGTGGCCAGTGGCTGCCGGCAGTGGGTAGCACACATGCATGTCTGGTTGGCGCGACCTGCTTCAAGAATCTCATGGACCAGACGCTCAACGGCGAAACCATCCGACACGACGCCGACGTGGGTGGTGTTGGCCATTCTGATAGACTTGTAGCATCCCCGCTGCTCCGGATCTTCACCGACAACCGCGTCGAGGGCAAGTATGCTCGCCAGATTGACCACTCCGTCGCCGTCCCCGTGCACCACCTCGGGGTCCTTGTCGAGGTCGCCGTCCCAGTACACCAGCTTCTCCGGGGTCGGCACGCCCACGCCGTTGACGCACGTCATGGGTACCAGCGGCGCCCGCAGGTTGAGCGCCACCGGCAGCGCCCGCGACAGGTACAGCCTCACTGCGGACGCCGGCAGCCCGGCCGCCGACAGGAACTCCGGCATGTCGCGCGCGGTGTAGTTCCTCGCCCGCGTCACGACCAGGGGCGTCTCGCCGCCGAAGACCGCCGGCGACGGCAGCCCCGCGAACGCGGACTCGAAGCTCCTCTTGACGCGCCGCATCGACAGGACGCCGGCGCCGTCGCTGGCGGCGAGGCCCTTCATGGTGACCACGATCCCGCCGGCGCCCGTGGAGGCCATGATGAAGTGCTTGACGAGCCTCCGGCGCCACGCCAGGGGGCTCCGGTTGAGGAACTCGAGCGCGAGCAGGCCGCCCTGGCTGTGGGACACGAGGATGGCCGGCTTGCCCCCGTTTCTCCTGCTCGCGTGCTCCACGAGCGCCGTGAGACTCCGGCGGAATCTGGAGAACTCCCTGTTCGGCAGCCCCGGCGCCGCGGGCGCGTGCCGGAGGTCGTACGGAGCGCCAAAGAGGCTCTCGCCGTCGATGTACCCGGTTCGCTCCAACGCCTCCACGAGTCTTCCCATACAGATCTCCCTGCTCCTCCACAGGTTGAGCAATCAGCATGCGTGAGCTAGGGAACATAACTATACTACTATAGTGATTGATTCCGATGCTTACATGTCGGCAGGGTCGTCGGAGAGGAAGCCGCCGGTGGAGCCGAACGAGAGGACGCGGGTCTCGACGCCGGGAACATTGCGGTAGTCGCCGGCCGTGGGGTCATAAACCAGGCGGAGCTGGTCGGCGAAGCACGCCATGTTGGGGAGGTCTTGCAGGCCCGTGCTGTTCTTCCACAGTCGGAACCACCGGCCGTCCCCCTTGCGCAGGCCGCAGAGCGGCGACGGCGAGTCGTAGGCGTCGGTGAGGCGGGCCTCGATCTGGCCGCAGGAGAAGCCTGGCAGCAGCACCACCGGGTGGAGGACGTCTCGCTGGTGGTGGTGGGCAGCCGACGTGCTCCCAAAAAGGAAGAAGAAGGGAGCAAAGACTAGGAGGCATGGCAAGCACAGCCATTGGAGTTTGTCCATGGAGATTGAAGACGTGAAGCGTCACAGGCTTCTCATATCCAAACCCAATTATTCAGGAGGGCAGGTACACATAACGCATGTGATCTTCTTTGATGGCTTCACGTGAGCACAGCCGTCCTCGTCCATGCACATGCAGAGTGCAGAGATGTAGGGCGTGGTAAGACTTTCAAACACACACAGACACAGGACAGCCACGCACATCACTCTATGCACAAAGCCAGAACCATTGATCATTAGTGAACAGAAGTAGTATTTAGTTGCGTTATGAATATCTACTATTGCACCAAATTAATGGTTGGTTGATGTTTATGTGCAC